AAACTATGATGTTTTCTACATGTTTACATTGTTTCTGCTGCCCCAATTTTTTTCTTTGTGTTTGCTTTTGTTATTAAAGGCTGTCCTCAGACGTCTTTAGTAAGGTACTAAAAGCTTATCAGAAGCTGTGTGCATGGCCAGAGCCTCTGACCAGCTGGTAGTTTTCACTGCAGATTAGATAGTGGGTCCATTTTGTGGGAAATGGGAAACTCCCAAGCGCCACTGTGTTTGGGGCTGATTGTTTTCACTAAGCGGGATCCTGGGTCCTGCCTGGAGGCATGGGCCTGGCTGCCAGCACTGTAGGACCCACTGGAGGAGAGGAGGGTCCCATGCAGATTTGCAGTGAGTCCTCCTGTTGCAGCCAACTTGCACCGCCGCTCGCAGGCGTCACTGAGACCTCTGAGGCCGGAGCCTCTGCGGGGTGCTGTGCACCCAGCAGCCTGCTTCCTGGCTACTCTGAGGCCAGAGCCTCTGTGGGGTGCTGTGCACCCAGCAGCCTGCTTCCCAGCTCCTCTGAGGCCGGAGCCTCTGCGGGGTGCTGGGCACCCAGCAGCCTGCTTCCCGGCTCCTCTGAGGCCAGAGCTTCTGCGGGGGTGCTGGGCACCCAGCAGCCTGCTTCCCAGCTCCTCTGAGGCCAGAGCCTCTGTGGGGTGCTGGGCACCCAGCAGCCTGCTTCCCGGCTCCTCTGAGGCCGGAGCCTCTGCGGGGTGCTGGGCACCCAGCAGCCTGCTTCCCGGCTCCTCCCAGCACCACCGTTTACTCTCCCTAGTGACCACCTGTCCAGGTACTTCCCAGCTTTCCATTTTTTTGATCACTATCGTCTCCTCTCCTCTTGGTCCCATGTGTTTATTCTGTCGTTCCTGCTTTAATTAGCTCGGTGGGATTCCAGGAGGAAGCAGTAGGGCGCCCACACGTCTGCTGTGACACGCTCTGTGTCCCCAAGAATTCTCTGTTCATGAGGTAACAGCTATTCCAGGAACCCCGGAACCAAAGAACATGTGGTGGCCCTGCCCTCCTCACATGTGCAGAAACACATGAAGGCATCTTAGATGGAGAATGACCCTAACACCGCTTCTCTCGTAGCATATGGTTCTGTCCAGAAGCACTCGGTGTTTGAATTACAATGTTTGCTTCACTAACAGATGGGCCTCTTACAATATGGTGATAGGCACTGCAATTTTTAAAAAATAAACATCTTCATGTCTTCTAAAATGTGTAAGAGGAGAAAGAATAAAAGTAACAGGTTTGAAGATGAATGGCCCTTTGTTTGCTTAATACAAAGTGACTTCAGGTAATCCTGCTTTTTCTCCTTTTCATTCATCATCCTTTCATTGCTTTGTGTCTTTCATAAGATTTCCTCCCTTCATGATGGGCATAATTCTAGTGAACGGAAGTTTTACATGGTCCCTTTAAAAACACAAAGAACACTTGGGTAGATGGTTTTATCATTTTAAGTAAATATTTTATTAGGATAAGAAAAAGCATTAAGTGTTTACAAGATAATTCTCATACCGAGTTACCCGAATACTTAGGATTTAAATTAGGTAAATAATGCCCAGTGGCAGTTTTTGTGGCCGAGAAAATAAAACTCCCAAATTCAGGTGGTCTGGGATCAGGGAAGTCTAACAGAAGTGGATGTTAGGCATCTTGTCTGTGCTCATATTTTAAAGGCAAGCCCTGAAAGGTTGCAGTATATTCCATGCAGTCTAGAAAGTGGGGCTCAGCAACTCAAGACAAGCAGAACAGGGAAGGGCTCTCCTGCTTCTGGAGACAGTAGCGGAGCCTGAAGACGTTCACCAGGTGGCGCTTTTCTTCCCTACCTCGATGGCAGTGCAAGGAAGCAGCTGGTCCAGAGAGTTCTGTGAACAGAGCCCAGGAGAACCTCTGAGCCGGGACGCAGAAACCCCAGAAGTGCAGTTGGCCTGACCCAAGGCGGGCTGAGGAGAAGGAGCTGGGATTTCAGACTAGAGATGACTTTTTAAAACTATATATGTTAAAACAAGACAATATACCTTATTCCCATGTGTATATTCAGTTATATACATTTGACACTAGTCTAGACCGGCTTTTCACATCCAGCAAGTCTGAAGTGGTTGAGGCGCTCCTGTCCACGAGCGGCGCTGAGCTCCGTTGTACCGGCTCTCTGAGTCAGCTGGAAATGCTGTCAGTTCTGTACCTTCCACTAGTAACAGCTGGGACTGAAAACCAGCCGTCTAGAAAACTTCCAGGATTAAACTTGCTTTCGGAGCCCAAGAGGCCATTGTTGTCTCTGGGAGTTTCTGAGCTGCGGTAGAGACACCGTATTTCTCATGTAAATGTCATTTGAGGACACTCTCGATGGCTTATTTTCCCTGGAGCTCCTGAATTAACTTACCTTCTGTCTGACCTTATGTGAGTCAGATCTTCAGTTTTACAATGTAAACTTTACATCTTCCACGTAAGCTTCTTTAAAACATGCATGGTAGGATTTAATTGCAGTCTATTTGTCTTTTTTAAAATAAATATTTTCTGTTTCAGGGCCTTTGATGTAGAACTGCTGTACATAGCACAGGTCTTTAAAATCCCAATAGCAGAAATTGCTGTCAACTGGACTGAAATCGAAGGTGAGCGTACTGTTTATGTCACAGCCCATCCTTAGTGGAGGGCGAGGGGGACCTCAGACAGCCCCGTGGTCCAGGGCGGTTAGCTGGCTTTAATGCCCCCCCGCCTCCGGTCAGGGCCCACTTAGTCCTGACTCAGAGGCAGTTCCCCAGAGAGTGCTGGCTGCCAACCCCGGCTCCCTCCAGGGGTTCCCACCGTCCGTATTGTTCCGGTCTCTTCAGGGGCCTTCAGTAGACAAGGTCGGGCTAGAAGCCAAGTTGGTACTCTTTTGAAATAAACTTTATTGTTCATATCATCATTTATTTTTAGTATGGTGTTACTCCATTACTCAGGGAGCATTGAGTACCTGCAAAACATTATGCAAAGTTAAATAAGGAATTATAGGCATTTTTATTTCAAGTATTCACAGTTCATTCAGAGCCCGTTTTTAAGTGGTATCTGTACATGTATCCAAAAATGTAAAGATCGCCAAGATCTATAATAATGTGAAATTGATCATAGTACTTAATAAGTCCTGTTCAGAAAAGGTCGCCTCTGGCTATGTAGAATTTAAAATATATTCTAGTTTTCTCCTTTGCTGACCTTAGGATGATCTCAAGGTCATCCACAGAGTGGGAGCAGTTATCAGTCACCTGGAGACTTTCCGAGGCACCTGTCCCTCAGCCAAGCACTGCCTCCACTTGGAAAGTCATTGTCGCAGTAAGCCCTTACTGCTCTCTTACCTCAGAGGTTAGGGAATGAAAAGGGGTAAGAACCATACTGCATAGTCCAGAACTAATTCAAACCTCTTGGAATATTGCTGCATTGAATTGAGTTTATGGCACTTTAACCCACAGCAGAAGCCTAAATCAGAAGGGGCCTGGGAACACGTAGGAGGGCTGCTCAGCCTGGCAGGGGTCACCCTGTTGGCCTGTCTGTGTTGATCCGTGCCCAGCATAGACACTATGGGAAGCTGAAGGAGGGAAAAGTAAAAGTATGTTTCATACTTATGTCATTTGCTCACTTGCATTTCAGAGATAACTGTGTGTTATTTTTCATTAACCAGTCCTCAGTGAGATTTTGTATTAGTCATTCCCAGAACCCTTGGCCATATACAGTTAGTCCCCCCTCTGAAATTGTCACATTTAGATCCTCCCAAGTTTCATTTCACTTAAAGATGTTTGTTTTTGTTGTTTTTAGAGAAACCACCCACTCTAATTTTGAAGATGTTTAATTCTTTTGTCCATGATTTAAATGAAATCAAGGTGGATGTGCTAATTTAACTTGATTTTTGGTAATCATTGCATAGTGTACACATTTATCAAATCATCACATTGTACACTTTAAATATTTATCAATTTTATTTGTCAGTTACACCTCAGTAAAGATTGAGGGGGGAAAAAAAGAGGAAAAAGCCAGAGCATTTGGTCTTAACTGGAAGCTGCCCGTGACTAATACTATGACGCTGCCTGTGTTTCTTTACCACCCAGCACCCCAGTTACCTGACCCGGGGGAGGGGGAGGCTGCTCCTGACTTAGTGAGAAACAGCCCCAAGGAGGAAAGTCAGGGAGTGTAAGCTTTTACAGCATGCTCAGGGAGGCGACTCTCATGTCGCCTGGGCTTTCCATGTTGTCGTTTGGCAACCACTGAAGGAGAGCTTAGCCTACCTGAGATGGTATTTATTTTAGCTGATGAAGAGTCTTTGGTAGACCTAGAATAAAAATTTGGGCTTTCGTCTTGCACTTATCTCAGGTTATTAATTTGTACCTGTGTTATGTGTAGATGTGCACCTAATCTTTATAATGCATATGAGACTGCAGAGTAGCATGTAAAACATGAACATTGGTCCCCAAAAATCATTTTTAATTGTACAGATGGAACTAAATGCTTAACATTCATACATATATAAATGAATAATATAAATAGGAGAACTAGAAGTTCACAGCAACAATCATGCAGACTGACTTCTAAAATACAATTTTAAACCCATGTATTTTCTCCTGAGTTTCAGTTAATTTATTTTTAATTATTTTTAAATTACAGGTTCTAAATTAGTTCCATTTTGGAGCTGGCTTCAAATGGGCAAGGACCTACTTTTTATACGACTTCGATACTTGACTGGTGCCTGGAGGCTTGAACAGAGCAGGAAAATGAATTAGGTTGTTTTCTGTCTTTGTATTCTTGTGTATCAGTGCCACGGATTTCATTTGAAATTAAAACTTGAAAGCTGGAATAAACATATGCCATGTCTGTGTCTTGATTAATTTTTATTTATGGAAGTTAATTCTTTAAAGTTTTTGTACCTCTTTTGGACAAAAATAAGTTTTTTAATTATAAATGCCTTATACATATATAACAAAATATATAAATATAACAAACGTTATATACATAACTTATATAATAAATATATGTATAACTTGTATATAACAAGTCAGATTTTCTTCTGCTTTAGTGATTTTTTTTATTGAATTATCAGTATGATTCTGAGAAATACAACTTTTAAACAAGTCAGAAGTAATTATTCTCACTTTAAAGTTCCTGCATGATTCTTGTGATATTAAATATAAACCACAATCATAACAGTGTTCAGGGACTTAAAAATAAATTTAGCATGTTTAAATGTATGCAAATTTATCAATATTAAATCTATTATTCAACCTGTAAGACTAGGAAATTGTATGCTAAGGATACAGGCTTGGTCACAAATTATCAACTTATAGTCTTAATTTATCTCCTTCATAATTTTACCTGTGTACTCTGCATACTCTCATCTCCTGGCAGATCCTTCCTCTTGAGTTCGTGTTACTAGAAACCAAAATCCTTATTAAAAAGAAAATGTTTTATAATAATAAAAATGTTTACTTAACATCAAAAACCTATGTTTTTAGAAACTGTAAAAACTTTTTAATAAACAGCAAGTATAAAATAATTTACCCCTAAAATTCAGAATTAAGATTACTTCTGATGTTTTAGAAAAACAATAATACCTAACGTTTATTGAGCGCTTGCCACATGCCTGCCTCTGTTCTGAGTACGTGGTATATAAGTGCTCACCTAACTGAGACACAGCGGTTACTTACCCAACAAGGTCACACAGCGGGGAAATAGTGGAGTCATGGCTCTAAACCACATGGTCCGCATCCAGAGCCTACGCGCTAATGATTATGGTACTTCCGTTTCTAAAGGCAAGAAATTGGGGATGGGTAAGTAGAAAGTCTCAGAAGTACATTGAATTTTAAACAAGACTCAGGTAGAAAAGTATAAATATACTAAAAATGACTCGAGTCATTGGAAACAAGTCATACTATCACACCTGCTTTAGACAAGAAGCTCCTAGGAAAAGCAATATTTCTTACTCAAATTAGTCTCCCAAGCACAGTGCTAAGCTTAAACCCTTAATACTGACAAGATGAATAAGCAGCCTCACCTACTACCAGATTCCGAGAGCATTTAAGCCACTTAAATGAACAGAAGAAAAGCAAGGCTAATGAAGCCAGGGATGGAAAGCAAGCAGTAGAATGGCAGCATTTACACAAATTCATAGTATAAACCATGGGCGAAGCAAGATCCTTAATGAAACTATAATTAGACAAAATAATGATTGCTCTTTGTAAGCTAGTGATAAATATGTGTATTGGAAGCATAATAGGAATTTTGAGGGGAAAATGTCAGTATTTTCTATGTAGTTCATCCATGGATACTTTTAAGAAAGGGACTGTCTCCTTGATCCCCCTTTGCCTCTAAGCGCAGGTGCCCTGACGTAACCGTGTAGCATAGAAGCTGAGGCGCTCGGCCAGGGGACAGGGAGTTGAACTGGACGTTACAGGCCTGGTAATGAAACGACAAGCAGCCGTAGCAAAAGTGAGATTCCAGCTGGCGCTGCCCTACGTACAAGGAACGGTGGTAAGAACCGCCCGAGCTTTATCTACTTACCTGATCAAACAGCTCTGTCATGCAGGCACAATTACCCACATTTCTGAAATGAGTAAGTCCTACACAGGTAGTTTGCCCAAGATGATACAAGTAGCCAGACATGCTTCTACTGAAATAAATAGGAAATGAAGGGTCATGGGGCGTGACTAAAACAGAGAGAATCCCACTCAGACAACTTAACCATTTATTTTCTACCTTCTCACTTGTTCTCAACAAAACACTCACACAGAGCTTTTTAACTTGAGATCACGTGTGGGCAACAACATGTTCCTTGGCCCTATTATCTGCATCTGCAGTTGTGTACTCCCACCAGTCACAGTTGATGCTCCAATTCTGTTTTCCATTTTCTTTATTCAGTTATAATTTCCTTGGAAGCAGAAACCTCGCCTTTTATTTCATTTGTGTGTCTCCACAGCATCCTACATCGTGATTGTTCAGTAAAGCTTTCTGAAATGGTTAGATAATGATACCATTTCATTTGTCAAAAAAAAAAATATATATAGATAGATAGATAGATAGATAGGAATGAGGTTATCCATTTTATTGTCAGCTAAATCCTGTGAAGAATCAGTCTAGTAGATTGCTTTTTGTGTAATCTCAAAAGCACTGAATCCACAAATCAATGACTACATTAGTCTAATAACGGACTATATGAAGTGGTACATTTGTAATTCACTGATTTGAGGTAAAACCCTGCTTAGTACTTTGATGGTCACAGGAAGCCAGACCGTCCCAGACTTGATCCTATCTAGGTTTTCTTTCTGTGTGCTGCATTTTCTATACGTGGAACTCAGCCCAGTGCTGGAGTGCTGTACATGTGCAAGCAAGCAGATCTTACCCCCGTCCTCGGAGGACTTTGCATGCTAAGGGCATAATGCCTGCAATCTTACCTGTAGAGTCACATGCCTTGCAGCATTCAGCCTGTCCTCAACTTACAGGTGAGCTGTATCCAAACCAGCTTATAAATCGGGTGCTTGGACTCCAGAAGGTATTTTCCCATGAAAATGTTAGAAAGGATGTTAAGTCCTTAGAGCAGTCTGGAACAGGCATGTCTGTAACACACCTGAACTATCATGTATTAGCCTGCAGTAGAGCCCAACCATGCTTCACAAAGCTATTTCTGTGAAGAAACTGATTTCCGCTTCCCAGCAGGGGTGCCGGGGAACCCGCTGTACCCACGTCCCCAGGGAATCCCAGTGAGGAGGAGGCAGGCACATCGGAGGTGAGTGTAAGCCTTCTGTGGCCTCTGCAGAGCACGGGCAGCCTTCCCCACGAGGGAGGATACAGTGGGTGGGGGAAGGGCTCCAGGGTGCCCTCTCTCACCCACCAGTGTCCACAGGAACCCGTGTGCGATGAAGGCAGATGGCAGGGGAGTATGAGTGCGATTCATTCTGCTTTCAAAGCAGGGACCCTGAAACCTGGCCCTAAGAACCGCAGTGCTACCAACATCCCAACCATCCAGTAGCGTGAATTCAGATCCTCCAAAATGAAGACAAAGTGCAAGTCATTAAGAAGTGATGATGTCTATACTGTTAAGTGTTAGAAGAAAATGTATTTGAAAGCCGTCCGTGCACTCCTCCATTCACTCAGTGACTCCATGCATGCCTAGCCCCCGAGCGCTGGTGGGTGGATTGACCAGACAGCAGGAGGAGGTCAGCAGCAGAGTTCCATTAGAAAGGTGTCCGCCCTCAGAAAACTTAGAGAATGTGAAACATGTGTGCAACAAGTAATGTAAGATCAAGGCCCCAGGTTGTCCTGACAAGCAGCTTTGTAGTTCAAACGTAGGAAAAATGCCCCTAAACCCTTACCTTCCTGGGGGTCTCCATGCACGATGCCCGACTTCAGTGAAAGCAGGGCCCCATCATCAGGAAAGATAGTTTCTGTCCCCTCAGTTCCGTCTGCTCTTAGTCATTCCTCCGAGATGAACTTAGAGTAGCCGTCCTGCTCACATAAACTTTGCACTGTATTCCTCGAGACCAAAATATTTTCTCAGGAATTTAGTGGAAGGGCCAGCTCAGTCAGGGTTGTTTTACAACGACAAAAGTTAAAGTAAGCCCTCCCACTTCTGCAAAGAGGGAGGAAATGTACTTTGCCCTTCCCTCTTGCTAAGCCCAACTAAAACCCGGGACATTATGCGCAAAACATATATGGACTCTCAAAGGAGGGATGAAGAAGGCAGACGAGGGCCCTTGAGACACAAGGTCTGACCTGGCGCTAAGCTCCCCGGGCTGTTTTTGTTTCTCTTTTGTCTCATGTATCCCAGACTGGCCACTGAAGCCAGCAACCAAAAATGCCAGCGGGCACCGACAGAAAGTCCCAGTGAATGCCTCTCTCTCTGGCCCAAGACCAAGAAGAGGGCAAGGCTAGCAAAACAGAAAACCTCTAGATAATAACTGCTCTACTCCAAACAAACATGACAGAAAAAACGGTGAAAAGACAATTACCAAGCGGGAGAAAATGCTCAAAATCCAACCAAGGACTAGTAGCTTGACTATGTAAATATCTCTTGAAATTCAACGGTAATAAAATAAACATTCCAATTAGAAAATGGGGCAAAGCCTGAAGAAAGAACTATCAAAGGAGGTATATAGATGCCAAATAAGCACAGGAAAAGATGTTCAGCATCACACACCGTTAGGAAAATGCCACGATGAGATACCACGACAGCCAGGAGAACGACTAAGACAAAATAATCACCAGTAACAACAAATGCGGGTGAGGACGCAGAGAAACGCGATCACAGGCACATTGCTGGCGGGCACGTAAAATGGTCCAGCCACTCCGGCAGACATTCGGGCAGTTTCTTTAAAAACTAAACACGCAGCTACCATGGCATCAACAATTGCTCTGGGCATTTATTTCAGAGAAATTAAGACTTAACGTTCACACAAAAAACTTGTATGTGAATGTTTATAGCAGTTTTATCCATAATAGCCAAACACTGGAAGCAAAAGTGAAGCCACGGTACGTCTGCACCAACCCACTGCCCAGCGATAAACAGGAACCAGCTGTGGGTCCACGCGACAACCTGCACGAACCCCCAGAGAATTATGCTGAGTGAAAATAAAAGGTACATGCTGTACGATTCCATTTACAGAAGTTCTGAAATAACAAGGGTATAGAAATGGAAAACAGATCAGTAGTTGAGGAGAGGACTAGGGTGGGAAGGAAGTGGACGTGGCTATAGAAAGGCAGCATTGGGGACCCCCGGCGATGGAAATGTTCTGCACCTCAACTACATCACTGTCATCCCCCTGGCTGTGATACTGGACCACAGTTTTGGGTGATTTTACCATTGGGGGAAACTGGGTACAGGATACATGGGACCTTTCAGTGTTATTTCTCACGAATGCAAGTGAATCCCATAAGTCAAAATAAAAATTTTGATTTTTTTGAAAGTATAGAAAGAGTTCTTTTTTCCACTTCTGCTATTACAGCTACTTTGGCAGCAACTAGTAGTTTTATTTCATGATTTTTCGTGTCCAGGGACTCTTGTAACTCAGAATGTAAAAGTCCTGGTCTTTTATGTAAAAATGAGCCATGAACATGGAACAGGTCTCCCAACCCCATAGGCAATCTGCTGGCATCAGTTTGGGCGCTGTGACCCACTGTCGGAGGATCAATAAGCTTGGAGTGCAACCGGGGCTCAGACTCAAACTGTCCTTTTGAAAATAAAAGAAGCGGTAGCAGAATCTACTAAATGTAGACCCTAATCAGAAGGTGACAGATTCTTGTGCGCAAGTGGCTAAGGTAAGATTTTGACCCATTGATGTTTTCAACCATGATCACCTTTGTCTTCCCATAGGCCAATTATATACAGGGAAAAATGAGATGAGATTTAAAAATTCAAAACCCTCAGTTTAGCCAAGTCTAGTATAATTTTCAAAAATTTGTCTAATACCTGAACATCCACCCTTTTCGATAACCTATCAAAGAGCACATGATAGCTGAGTTTTAGCTATAATTACATCACATTCATTTTTTTAATGATCATTTCATAAAAGATACTCCCAACAAAAACAGAACCTTACTTATATATCTTATAAGAAATATATATTAGAAAATTTTATTTCATTGACAGTGTGGTTTCTCAGGTGTCATTTTCCCCTCTGGACGGGCGGCTGCTGGGGTCAGGCACTGTGTGGGTGAGTCAGGAGATTTCGGTGATGAAAGTCGTGTGCATCTCTGTTTTCTCCTCTATGAAGGGGTAAGACAGAGAAGATAGGAATGCAGTGAGAACCAAATGAAATGATGTGAGCCTAAGCTCTAAAAAATAAAATGTTATGAAAATGTAAGATAATTCACATGCACATAGCCAAAAGAATATTTTCATATTCAGTAGGTGCAGAATGTTCTATTCTACTTGTTTGTTTATGGCCTATCTCATTCTAAAGGTAACTTTATTCTAAAAGACTATTTCTCCATCCAAAGTTCTCTCTGAGAGGAAAGCAAAAACAAAGGGATTTATTTTCTTCTAATGTCTATTTTCAGTAGTGGCCTTAAAAGCAGACCCAAGGCTCACTACGTATTATGTGGAGATACAAGGACATCATCAAAGAAGAAAAATGATCCGTTTGGTTGGTCAAGTGTTTGTGGTTCTGTATGAACACGAAACGTTTTATTTATACAGAAAATGCTTTTGGAGATTTTTTAAATTCTCATTTACAGTGTTCTGAATATCTCTTGAATTTCTCTTCAAATTTATTCTGCCAGAAGCCATCTACTAATTGAAAAGGATAAAGAGCAATGTGTGGCTCAAAGAGTATTAGCTTTATTAGCCCTTATATACAAGATAAATGTCACGGAGAACAGAACAATGTCAATGTGTTCACCACTAACAAATGCCAAGGAGAACCTTGTGTCTCTCAGCCAGGCAGGCAGGGACCTTGCTGATGCTGCGGCCTCAGCCTGTCCTTTAAAGGGAAGGGCTAAAAGTCTCTCTGATCAATCTCAGTCAAGGACGAAAAACTTGACTTCAAATATAGGTCTAGTCTTCCCATTGTTATTAGCTGAACGTTTCTGTCCCCGCAAAATTCGTATGTTGAAACCCTAACCCCCACTGGGTTGGCTTTAGGAGGTGGGGCATTTGGGAGGTAAACAGGTTTAGATGAGGTCATGGGGGTGGAGCCCCCCAACATGGGACTAGTGTCCTTATAATAAGAGAAAGAGCCTGGAGCTTGCTGAGGGTACAACGTGACCCACCGGCCTGCAAGCCGGGCGGAGGGCTCTCCCCAGACAAGGAATCTTGAACTTCCAGCTTCCAGCGCTGCGGTTTCCGTTTTTCTCCCTCACCTACTTCCACTTTACAGCCTGTAGATTTTTCTTCTGAAATGTCACCGCCTATTTCACATTCTGCTCAAGTACTTTCAATTCCACCTGAAGCTCCAGGTAAGCAGTGAGGTGCAGGGGCTCAGTGCCTGGGCTCCGGGGTCAGGCAGACTGGACTGTGCATTCGGGGTCTGACGTCCCCCGATGCCTCAGGTTCCTCAGCTGTCAAAGGGGAGCAATGATTCTCGGCCCCTGAGATGTCATGGGTGTGAAGGGAGCCTGGTCACGGCAGGGGGAATCTCAAACTAAGATGCTCAAGGGCGCCTACCTTGCAACTGCGGAGCGTTTACTTGGTGATATGCTACCATGTAACAGTTTTTCTCTTATTTATCCGACAAGTCTGACCATTCTCTTCCCAACACCGAGGTATTCATCCTCAAAACCTCAAGAACTTCTGCACAGAGCAAGCCTCTGGGCTGCTTGGTGACTGTGGAGGTTGTGCCCACGTCGGAGTGCCCAGCCAAGGGGTGGAAAGGTAGCGGCCGTGTGCCGCAAGGCCGGCGCCCTCAGGGACTGGGAGGATGGCTCTGTGGCTGTGGGGTGGTAGGCACCCACACTCATTCCTCAAGTGTAGCTGAACTTTTGCCTTTGCGGGTACGGCCCTGACACCTGCCCTGTATCCACACCTCTAAACGGCCCACACAGTCACATGATCGCCACTGGCTGTGTGTCTCTCCTAGCGGGCCGTTTACTGGGAGCCAGCGCTCTGTGTCCACATGGTTCATCCAAGAGCCTGGAACTCAGGAGAGGGGTCGGCGATGCTTATGGAGTGAATGATGGCTCTTGAAGGCCAAGTGCAAGGAGCAGGCAGAAAAAGTGCCCAGCTGGGACAGAGCTGCACGTGAAATGCATGAAAGGTGGGGAGGGGTGTGTGGGCAGCAATCCCTGGCTGAAGGTACACAGCTGTGCAAAGCAGGATCTTTGCAGCTGTCAATCACTGCAGCCCCTGTCAGAACCTTGTTCTGGGTTGGGCACAGGACACGTGGAAAGGACCAAGCCTCTCATGCGTGAGGCTGCTGCCCTTCCTACAGCTGTAGTCTAGCCTGCAGGAGCTCTTCTTGTACCAAAACCTTGTAACTCAGAAAAGGGGGCGGGGAACTTAATTTCAGTGTGGTTTTCAGTTCTTGAACCAAAATTGTACTGGCGGTTCCACTGACTCAGGTTCCACTGAGTCTCACCCCTCATGTGACTCCCATTCTGTAGTTTTTTGGAGGAAGTTTTAACAAGCAGTGAAATTGCAGCCAATCAAGAGGAAAAAATAATGCCAGGTCTGGATGTCCTATTACAAGCACGGTGCTTCTGAAAAATGACGTGTCAGGCTTGAGCCTCCTTTCCCAGAGGCAGTAGTCTCTCCTTCCTGGAACTCACCAGATCGTACTTTTGGGGATAATGGATTCACTTTCTATATTGGGTCTGAGGAACAAATGATAGGAATTGTGTGAGTGACAGGCTGTCGTTTAGGTGCCACAGGTTCTTGGTATGTCAATGAGAATGTACAGAAAAAGCAGACACCCCACCCTCCAAGAATCCGCAAACCCAACCCCTGCCAAGAGACAAGAGAGTTCTGTGACTCAGAAAGACTCCCTGCCAGAGGCGTGAGCCAGCACCGCGGAGGCTATGACTTCCGGCTCTGCATCACCTTCTGTACTAATGCTCCTACGAGAAGGCAACAGGGAAGGCAGTGACTAGGTCACTTCTCTGGTCAGCAACATTAAAAAATCAAAACCAAAAAACGTGAGCCGCTAGGCATTCAATCTGAGGAACTCACTATTTTACGTGCGGGAGAGGACAGGCACACCAGGAGCAGTTGCAGCTGTTGGCAGCGCAGATGCTTCCCACCCAGAGCAGCCCCCAGCCTAACACCCAGCCCGGGGCGGAGAGAGATGCTCCAGGTGTGGAAAGGCGACCTAGGTTTTGATTTTAAGTTTCTACTCCAAATGCTGTTTTGAACAAGGTCATTTTGCTCAACAACAGTATGACGCAAGATAGGCCTCCGCCACGGGAAGAGCGTGCCGCGCGCTGAGATCTAAAAAGCAGTTAAATTCGAGCCTAGCGTCTAAGGTTGCAGGGCTCCCGGCCTTCGGTCGCGCCGAGTTTTCCACACACAGGGGCAAACTGAGTACCGTCTGCGTAGCTTGCTTTAAACCTGTTTTCTGTGCAGACCTACTGGCTGCTGAGAGCCGAGGCCGCCAGGACGCGGGTGGGGCTCCGGAGCGCACCCCGGGGGCTGCAGGGTCCGCAGGGGCGCGGACGGCGGGCGGCCCGGGCAGCCTTCCGTGGCGCTGGGCTGCGCGCTTCTGCTGTTAGACCGCGTTGCACACGGAGCGCTGGGCTGGTGGGCAAGGAACACGCGTGCAGGGGTGGAATCCGTGCCGGGCTTGCACACCGCGCCCCGGCCCTCCCCGCCGCCGCCCCCGCTCCAGGTGGGGACTCGGGTCGCCGCGGACGGGGCGGCGGCGCCCCCGCAGGTTTCCGCGCACGTGGCCGCGGCGGGCGCCGGTGGTGGTGGGGGGGGGGCGCGCGCGCTCCTGGCCGCGCTCCAGGTCCGCGCGCCGGCACGGGCGAGGCGGCCGCGGCTCCCGCCTGGCTGACGCCGCCGCCGCGCCGCCGTCTCGGCCCCGCCGCCGGGCCCTGCGGCCACTGCGCGCGGCCGGCGGCGGGAGCGCGGGCTGGAGGCGCGGCGGCGGCGGCGGCGGGGCCCGGCGGGCACAGGTAGGCGCCGCACCGGGCGCTCCGCGCTCGCCGGCCGGGGCCCCTCGGGGAGCGGAGGGGCGGCAGCGGGGCGGCCGGGCGGCGGGCGGGGAGGGGCGCGGGCCCGGCGGAAGGGGCGCGGGGGCCACACCCGCCCCGGACGGCGGGGACTGGACAGGACAGCCGCGCGCGCCGCCGCCGTGGTTCTGCCGGCGCTGCGGACGGACGGCCCGCCCGGGAGGCACCCCTAGTCGCGGCCGGCTCGGCACGTCCGCCCCCGACCCGGTGGAGCGCAGCCCAGGCCGAGCCCCAGCAGGCGCGGCGCCGCAGGGCCCGGAGGCCGGCCGTGGGGTGGGCGCGGTCGGGGCGACCCCCGGGGAGGGAGACGCGCCTGCCGCGGGCGTGCCTGCTGCCCTAGGATTCCTGTCGGGGCGAGGGAATGCCTTCGATGTTTGCATTTAAAAAATAGTGATCTCCAGAAGGGAAGTATAAGTAAAACCCCAACTCATCCTCCTAACTCCAGATGCACAGTTGAGTGAGTTTCCCTGTGCTTGTGGGAAATCGTGAACCAGATTTTGGAACGCTTTCAAGTTTGTGGTTATCCAGGAAGGACACTGCAGATAAGCAAATGATGCAATCGTTTATAAATAAGGAGCATTTTAAATATACTATAACAAGAGTTTGAAGTAATGAATCAGTAAGACAACTATTAGTGATAATAACTGACTACACTGATGGCAAGACAGCTGTTTAGGAGACGGCCCTTGGCCCCTTCATCTATGGACACCCCATGTTTATGCTTGGCTGGCCGTCTTCCTCAGAGCCTCTTGGGGCTTCAGCTCTGTGGTGCCAAGCTCTGGTTAAGAGAATGCCAGTGTATTCTTGATCTCAGCAAGTCCATTCTTATCAGTGCAGTGTTTACTAAAAACCAAACATAAAAACACATTTTAGGTTAAACTCATACGTATAATTTTCACATCTTGCTCATCAATATTTTAAAGTCAGCATAAGCTATTTGGCTTTCCTCTTTTTAAAATAGTTTTCTTTGGCTTATATGTCAATGGGTAATTGGAGATATTCACATATGTCAACTGCTGCATCTCTGCCCAAGACATGGCATTAATGAGAAAGGCTTTTTTTTTAAAATGAAACATGACCAAGGATATTGCCAAGTAATAAATGACTGGCAAATTTGTTTATCCTTTCTGCTTCTGTGGTCAGTTGGAGAAAAAAAAACCTGTCAAGAAATTATTTCATAAAGACTAAAATACTCAGTTTCAGCGTTACAGATAGTTTAATTCTGATTAACGAGAGCTCAGTTTCCTTTGCCGGATTGGAGAGATGGCGTTTCAGGAGTGGTCACCAGAGCTCTTATGCAACTAACTGGTTTATATCTAATGTTTCCTGTGCAATAAGTAGACATCTCATCATGTTTTGCTTTATTATGTTGGAAACAATACTTATCCACTGAATGTATTCTGATTCCAAGGGAAGATAAAGGTTATGAAAAACAAAAAGTTGTTTTTTAATTTGCAAAACATACTAATTAAATTTAAAATCTCTAATGAGGCTTAGTACAGATTTGCTGTGTATTGCATCGAACATTTAGAGAGGAATTCAGAAACGGACGTGTCAGCAATAAAACAGTAAATATAGCTGTATATTGAAAGTGTGAATCTGTTCAAATAGTTGTAATTCCAGATCGTTGGATTTATATTTCCTTGGCTACTGTTGCTGGTGAGTTAAAAAGTTATTCTAAAAAAAAAAAGGCAAATGCATAAGTAGTATAACCATATGAGCACGATTTACTAATTTTTGGTTCTGTTAACCTAGTGAATGTCTGTTAGCATCAGTAGGCACATAACAAAAAATAAACATCCCTTGGCAATAAACTAACCTTTAAAAACAAATTCCTATAAATGATGGCTCTTGAGAAAGGTAGGCTAACTAGAGGGGTTAAGACGTCAGGGTATGTTCATTAGCTGCATGTTGATCTTGCCCGTGGACTGCATCCTGGCACTTGTACCGGAAGCTATCCTGGACACCACCTACTACCCTCCTTCGCTGCCAGCCTCATGCTGACCCCATGCCACTGTTGCAGGCTTATCTTCCCACTCCTTCCATGTTTTATGCAGCAATTAAAATAATGAATTATAATTTCCCATGCATACCCTGGCTTTCCTCTCCTCTGCATCTTACTCAAGCTAAGGCCCAGAATGCCTCCCCCCTGCCTCCTCGTTTCTCAGCCCATCTGCAGACTTAGCATTTTCCTCACCTTTTATGGCCCCGTCCAGGCACTGCTTCAAAGAACCTCCCCTGATGACTCCGGCCACAGGTGTGTCCCCTCCTAAGCGCCTGTGTCTTTCTGCATTTCCTACCCTCAGCACATCTTGTTTTGTATAAAGCTACTCATATGATCATTTCTTTCTTCTCAATTGATCCTTTCAAGTTCGGCGGAGGAAGGGACCCTATTCCATCTATCTTTTTCATTTCCTTAATGCCAGCCACAGTGCCCTGCATGGAGCTCAGTCAGTGATTCAATGGCACATCTTTCACTGGACCCATGATCTCTTCTGAAATAAAACCTGTAAACGAGATTCCCCCCTACAATAGGTCTTAACTGTCCATCTTTCAAGAAGCCAGTGTTGAACTTGAGCACGACTTCTTACGCGGCTGTTGAGACGGAGCTCTGAACGCCCCCAGGCCTGTTAAGCTTCCTTCCCCCGAATATTGCGGCTGAGCATTACAGTTGGGAAAGCTTATAGGATACTCTTATTGCATTAGCAATTTTCCATATCAGATTCACTAAATACACAATGGAAGCCATTTAGCAAACAAAAAAAGAGAGAGAGATTTTAATGTGATATGGCCACCACAATGAAACTAATGCGATTCCACAGAAAATTGCTAACACAATATGCTGACCCCCTTCCCCACCGAGAGCCGCATAAAAATTGACACTGTTTCTAGTGTATGTTGCAGACCGTGCTCACAAAGGAAAAAGCAGGCTGCCGCCGAGATGAGTCTTTGTTTTGGTTAGGCTAGATGTACAAAGTCTTATCAGCCTTGTCAGAGAGCTGAATCTCCCACCGGTGCCTTGCTCATGGTATTTCCAAACAATACTAAATCATGTCTTAAAATGCTTTATGTTCTGTTAAGCGATTCCGAATTAATAGCGTTAATGTAGTGTAAAGTATATAATTTGTGTGTAAGTTTCATGCCTTTTTAATAGATCTGATCATACAGTTTTAACTGAGGAGTCCTAATAAACTCAAAACCAATTTCCCAAGAATCAAAGAGACCCTGACATAAAATTTAAATTCAGAACTTAAAATGAAGTGCATAAATGTTAAGAAACAAATTATGAGTGTGTGTACAGAGCTGTAACACTTTAGAAGTCTCAAACACGAAAAAGATTGTGGTTCTTCATCTGCCAAGTGGGATTTTTGATGGTGGGATTCTCCTGTTCAAACTCTTTAATATTTCTCTTTTGCCCACAGGTTGACATTTAACAGTTCTCTTGCCTATATGTGGGAATCCAAACGCCTTAGCCTTCCTCCCACCTTACCTTACAAAACACGGATCTTAGGGGAGAGAAGAGCGGTGGCTGCAGGCGGCATGGACGCCAACCCATAATGCCAAGACAGAAATTTAACCCATAAAACAAATGTAATGGAGACCTAGAGAGTTCTGATTTTTCTTACAATTTTGATTTTCTATTTTTGGGGAAAATACTAAATATCAAAATCTTTTTCTGTCTCTTTTGCTATTTTGTTAGTTGATACCACTCGTGGGGATTATTTTTATATACAAATTTATATGTAGATTTCCTCAGGAAAATTGAATATTTATCTGACTGCTTCCTCTTTTCCCTTCTCAAATTTAACTCTGAGGGACTATATATAGGAAACATGTATTCCTCAGTCTTGACATGAGTTTAGTGTTGCAGTTGTAAAAAGCAGTCTTGGGTTTACAAACGCTGGGATTAACAGGAATGACCATTGCTTCCAGAGCTCCAGTTCTGGGTTTTGTGCCCCTGGACGAATAATCTGGAAAGCTCACCTGTGCTTCTGGGGACACCAACACCAGATGTGCTGATGACATTGGATATTCATTCCGGAGCGATTTGCGGGGGTTCTCACTGATCCCGAGAGCACGTCCCTGGGTGGGGCGGCCCTGTGCCTTCACAGAGCCATGAAGTGTCTTCCTCCACATAGCCTCGTATTTTTCACTTATAATCTGTGAAACTGCTTGGAAGCTGATCAGATGTAGATTTGCTCTGGTTAGTGTGTGTATGTGTGTACATTTATGTTTCAATTTGTTTTCACAAAACGCAATGCTTGTGAAGTGAAATGGCTAAGGTAGGAAGGAGATGGAACTGTGGGTTGGGAATGTTTACCAGCAGCTTGGAAGGATTTTTGTCCGAAGCACTTGTGGGCTGTGGAAGGGTGAGAGCAGCTCTGCAGATATTTTTAAAGGAGAGTTTGATGGATGGTAGGGAGTTCAGCTGAAGTGCTGGGAGCTGCTTTCAGAATTCTTGCATCTAAATTTAACTGACTTGGTAGTAACACATTTCAGAAAGTAACTCAGACGAGCATTCACAGATTCCGTCAGTGTTCCATCTCATGGCAGAGCATTTGACTTCTGTTGAATTCACCTTTTTCTTTGCTGAGCATCCCACGTGAGAGGATTGGAGTTTGGCTGGAGGAGGAGAAGGAACAGTAGGTCATTAAAAAATTCATGCATGAGGGCAGTTGTGAGGATTCTGTGAGGATTCGAGGCCCCTAAGTTTAGCGGGGGGGAGGCTGCAGAAAGCGGGTGGCAGATGGTGGACGTCACCTGTTCGGGCTTGTGTTAGCAGTAGTAGAGGCCACCTGTGTTAGGAGTTGAGGGTCTCAGTGGGCTGGCCAGGCAATCTATCAGCCAGGTTTCTAGGGGAAAGTTAATTCCACTTTCCAGATGGCTACACAGAAATGGGCACAATTTGTTCATAAAGCAGGTCCGACAGTGGTTAATGATATCAGTGATTATTATTAATGATGCAGACACTTAGTAGAAGCCAGTGAATGTGGAAGATGAGAAAATGTGTTAAGCTAAAAAAATTTGGGGTCTCATGCTGTTTTCTTCCATTTGATGCATTTGTACCACTGTTTCCCAGTTTTCTAGTGGTAGCAGAATTTCATTTTTAGGAGCAGAAGTTGGATCAGATGTTTGCCAAAGACAAGCCTTTGTGTACACAAATGCTTCCTGTAGGGATTATTGGTTAAATATGTGTTTACACAAAGCAACCACTGGGTGTTGGCTTTGTTTGCCAGCAATGGCAAGTTGGTGCCTGGTGTCACTTCAGAGGTGTGACACCTCCTTTCGGTTGTCACTGATGGAAATTTATTGCAAATACACATCTCAAATTTTTCCAAATACTGACTTGAATGTGTTTTGGGGTTTTAAAAATGTTGTGATTTTTGCAGCTGTAGTAATTGCTCTAGAAAGCGAGCCTTAAAAAATTTAGGGGGCTTATTAGATTGTTCATTCAGCTATTCACTCTGTGTCTGTTGCACCTGCACTTCCTATGAGACTTCAGACCAGGCCTTGGGGACCATACAACAAAGTCAAGTGACAGAGCAAAATAAAGGCCTGATCTCCAGAATTTTGTAGCCACATTAGAGAGAGAAAAAGAGAGAGAGAGAGAGGTGAGGGGAGCAAATAGAAAAATGTTTACCCAGTAGTAAGACTCCTTATGCAGTACAATTGTCATCTATTTGAGTCTGTCTACACTGTCATGGTGAGAATTACATTTTTACTGTGTGTGAATTTTGAGCCACATTCTTGAGGTGATTAGCTTGGGGTTTGGGACTCTAAAGAGAGATGAAGTCAAAGGCGTAATGGGAATAGAGATTCTTGGAGTAAGTCCCGGTGAGAACTAAGGAGGAGGAGACGTCCCACTCTGGAGCTGCCCTACTGTGTGCGGCAGGGGGAAGAGGCTGTGCTTCTCTGCTTTCCTGCCTTATCCTCTACTGGTTCAAGAGTGAGTTTCACAGCTCCTCTGACAGGAAGCCTCCCCTGACCCTTGATGCACGGATCACCTGTCTAATAATAACGTGCTTAGATCTGTCTCCCCTGTGGACGGTAATGTCGTGAAAGGAAGGGACTCTGCCTCATCCTGAAATGCCCGGCACAGGCGCCGTGTCTGGCTCCTCGTCCGTGCCGCCTGCAGCCACCGCTCTTCTCTCCCCTAAGATCCGTGTTTTGTAAGGTAAGGTGGGAGGAAGGCTAAGGCGTTTGGATTCCAACATATAGGCAAGAGAACTGTTAAATGTCAACCTGCGGGCAAAAGAGAAATATTAAAGGGTTTGAACAGGAGAATCCCACCATCAAAGGGGTATTTGGGGAGAGTGAAGACAAACCTAAGTGGCCCGGCGCTCGTAATGCCCGCGTTAGCGCCCGGAGGGGCTGGCGAGGTGGGGCTGGCGCACGGTCTCTGCTGCTCCTGGGGTGCCTCTGGCAGTTACAGGCCAAGCTTCCCAAGAGCCCCCTGACACAGTGGGCTAGTGACTCTGCTCCAGCAGCCGGTCCCCACCCCTCAGGCAGCCTTTGGCCAGGAAACCCGACCCCCACAACAAACGCACAGCAGTAAAACTTAAAAAATGGCCCACACACCATTCAAAATATCTTAAATATTATTTGTAGCCACTTAGCCCTTTGCAGGTGTTCAGGTACAGGCTGGTGTTCTCCATAACCACCTCATAGAGACAGACTTACATGCACAGGAAGGAGCGGGTACATCACGTCATTCCGTCCTGAGGAATCAGTCGGTCACATCAGCAAAGAAACCGACTTTCAGTCAGAAGTTAGACTAATTACATAGGGCTTAATAATGACCATACTTAAGGTTATTGGTAAAATTGGGTTTTACTTTCTTTCATGCAACATTCATTGTGCAGCAGACCTGGTATTAGGCAGCACAGGGCCCTCTGGCTTCAGAAGGAGCTCAGCATGTCCGGGAACACGAGTAGCAAGTACGCGGTGTCAGGGGCGATCCTGCCATTGCGGAGGTGCGTGCTGGGTGTCCCGAGGCGGAGGAGCTGTGTGCAAGGCGCGGGAATGCTGCGGCGGGGCCCCCGGGAGGGCCCGGGGAGGTGGACGCTGCACCAGGCCTTCCGGCACAGGGGAGGGAGGGCAGGGAGGGGAGGGCAGGAACTGATGAGGCTGGGAATGCGGTTCGGGAGGCCAGAGGGCGAAGAGCCTGCTTTGGAATGGATGTTAAAAGCGTCAACTCCTAGTCCCCTATATTGACTGTCTGTATTTTTTTTCCTGTAAAATATATAAATACATACACATTTGGAAAAAAACATACTCTAAAGCTCAAGTTGAAGCGCTTTTTATACCAACCCCTGGAAATAGTTGCTGTGTCGCTCAGGAGTGTGGTCCATCACGTGCCGGCCCAGGGGGATGTTGCAGGAGGGTCTGTCTTGCAGGGAGGGCGCTTCCTGGGGGTGGGCTGGCAGGTGGGGAGGGGTGCCCAGGAGGACCCACGCCTGGATGGGACACAGCCGAGGAGTACATGCAGGGCCTGTGGCAGGATTCGGCGACCTGCTGAATGTGGGATTGAGGAGACGGAAGGGATGGAATTTCCCTGGGATTGGTCACGTTTGAGGTGCCCCGTGGTTCCTAAGGGGGGGATGTGGTCGGAGGGTGGTGCTCCCGCGCATCCGGAAGGCTGGGAGGAAAGCGGCCTTGTCAGAAAGCTAATAGGTTGTGCTTCTTTCTCTCTCTCTCTTTTACATCAATAAAGAACGGTTTTAGGTGCCCAGGCAAAACTGAGTAGAAGTTTCCCATATAGCCCCTGTCCTAGCACATGCCCAGCCTTCCCTAAGAGCATCCCCTGCTGGAGGGGCTCAGCTGTTGCACTCGATGGCCCCACTGTCACCCCAACTCCGTAGTGTGCATTTGGGCTCACCCCGGTGGTATGCGTTCTGTGGGTGTGTGATGACATGTGCACCCCGCTGAGGTGTCGTGCCAAGTAGTTTCACTGCCCTAAAACCCTTCCGTGCGCCCCCTGCCCGCCGCCCCTCTCCCCAGCTCCTGGCATAGATTCCAGTTCTGCATTGGAACACATCACACTTAGTGTAGAGGTCAGTGGTGATCAAACTTTAATTTTAAAACAATTTTTTTTTTAAACCAACAGAACAGACCTTTGGTCGAGGAACCTTTTAAGTAAAGCTGAATGAAGAAGGGCTACTCTGGGGACAGGTGGCATCTGCAGAGGGCCGGACGCGTGCCTTGCCCTCCCTGCCGCTCTGCTGCTGTGCCTGAGGCCCTGCCGCCTCCAGGACGCTGAGGAGCGCCGCTTGGGACCTGCGGTAAGAAGTCTGCAGCGCCCAGGAAGGGCTGCGGGTCCCCAGATGCAGTGATCTCGGACTGGTGCTTTCCGAGACCTGGTGTCTGGTTTCTAGTAGTTTTTTTTTTTTTTTTTTTCTTGTTTGGTCCGTTTCTTTGGGTCAAGCTACTGGCTTTGATGTTGCTTTATACCCTCGTTGCATCTGCTCATAGCGTCTCCTCTTCGGCCTCCCAGTTTGCTGCTCTGATTTGTTGTGAACAGGGAAATCATAAACATGCTTATTTAAACTGAGTTGAAAAAAGTTGCAGACAGGGCCCACGTGACCTTTTCTGCATGGACTTGGTAAGATCCGTTTGCCCAGTAGAACCTTCTTTCTGCTTGATGCTTGTTCTCAGTTATGTGTTGTACAGATGCACTTGCTGGAAAGTCCGATTTTGTCCTCTGATCCCTCCCTTTCTGTCAGGGTTTCTCCTGCCTCCTCCCTTTATCTGTCCGACCCTAGAATTATATAAAAAGAATGTATTACGGGCTCAGAAATTTCTGTGCACCAGCTCTCCTGGGTGAATAGCAGCAATGTATGCTGATGAGGAAGAAAACGATGTCATAATTTTCATTTCCAATGAGATGCTAATATGTCAAGATAGTTGTGATACTGGTTTTTTGAACTGAACATTTATTCTTTTTTCCCTTCTTTGCCTCTGACGTTTCTGGAATTGTTTCTCTTTTTCTTCTTTTGGTGGCTTTTACTTCTACACTGAGGCAGAGGACGCGTAAACAGCAGAATAAGTACTTGTTAACCATACAAATAACACCCTTTCGCTAGGTTACAGCTCTCCAGCGGCTTCCGCTCACATCCTCTCCGCTTTACGGAGGAGGAAATAAACCGAGCGGTTAAAGGCTGCAGCTGGTTAGTGAGGGGGCTCAGCGCGCGGGCAGGTCGTCTTCCTCCAGATCCCATGTTTTACCTGCTACATCACGTTGCCTGTGTTGTTCCTGGAAGCATTAGTTACACTGTGGGCCTTCCAAGCTGGAACAATAAAACATCTCACTTGGGGGGGGGGAGGGGGCGGTGTACGGTACTTCCAAACATACGCTGACAGTATATTGAGAATATAGGTTGGAATACTAGAAACGTTTGCCCCCATCTTCCCAAGGTAGTGCTCACATTCTCTTGTTACAGCGCTACGGGTGATTTGCCCTTAAAATGTTCAGTCGTGCCCTTCGTAGTCAGAATGCTACAGGGAAAGTCTTAGAATGTCTGGCATTCTAAGTGTACCATAAAAGTGACCCAAATGATTAGGTATGTTCCTTAGATTCCCTGTTTGCTGCTCAAATGCCTGTTCTCTTTCCCTTTCACTCCATTTGGCATAAATAAAACATCAAACGATGGGATAAAAAGAATAACCCTGTCTCTATAAGAAGTGCTACAAAGCAACATTAAAGAGTCTATCTCCTTTCTTTATTTTAAAAAAATAATTGTAAACCTCCACTGAAACATAAGAAATGATACCTAATCGAGATTGAATTCTAGCTGGAAAATCAAGCTGTTTGAGCAGCCAAGAGAACCTTATTTCCAGAATATCAACAGTTAAACAAAACATAGGTCGAGACTTCCCCACTGGCTTATTAAGCGTAGATTCCAGGGCCTCCAGCTCACCGTAGCGCTGCCTAACATGAGCACAAACCTGCCTGACTAACCACGTCTTGATCTGGGCAAAAATACATCACTTTTAGTCAGGGCCTTTTGTTTTGTGTGAAATTAATATAAAAAGAAATCAAGCAATTGCTGTAGGAGTTCTCTTTTAAAGTGAAATTGTGTGTGTGCTCCATGCACTGTGAGAGTTTTGATACATTTGTGGGCTTTACTCAGATAAGATTCAGCCATCATGACCGTGTACCCAAAGCCAGGAATGATGATAAAAAGGATATTTTTAAATGAACTTTGGGTAAGCTTGTACTTAGTTGTGTATTATAAGGTAAGTTTGTTTAACCCAGTAGTATTTTCATGCAGCAGATTCTATTATATTTCTGTTCCAGGAGGGATCATGAAGTTCGTTTTAGGAACAAATGAGTTTCAAATTGTGTGGATTTGAAGTCTTAAAGGTTCTGGACTATTAGTAGGTTTAAATGCAACTTGACATATCAGATATGTTAGAGCATGAAAAATTTATATTTTTGCTTCCTTTCAGGATTATTAAATCTATGGATGTTCTTTGAATTTAATTATTTGCTTTGGCTGAAGGAGTTTTATAGTCTGTATTCTAAGTACAACTGATTCCAACAAAATGAAGCTCAATAATATTGATTAATGCTATGGAAAATCACTTTTGGTTGGTTCTGAGGTAGAAAATAGATCTCATTTAAAAAAGTAGTCTTTTCAGAGATTGTTCCATATTTTCCCTTTCTCTTACCATAGGAGCATATGTCATTTTTACAAAGGCACTTCCCTCCTCCCCTCAAACTACTACTGTCAGAGAAAATTGATATGTTTTCATGAATTGGCATCAAGTGGAAGAAAGGCAGGCAGAATACCAGTGATCACATGAAACTAGGGCTGCCCTTTGGGGACCATGGGCTGCGGAAAGGAGGTCCAGCTGCATAACTGGGCCTGGGGCATGTGTGAAGGTTTCCCAGAAGAGATTCTAAATTCTTTCAAGAGTTGATGAAGCAAATTATTGTAACATTTGGAATGAGGATTTTCTTTTTCTGTGGGGAAACACATAAAATTTACCATTTTTGCCATTGTAGGTGTCCTACGCAGTGGCATTAATTGCATTCACAGTATTGTGCAGACACCACCACCACCATCTCCAGAACTTTTTCACCCTCCCAGAGTGTAACTCGGCTCCCGTTAAACAAAACTCCCCTTTCTCCTTCCTCCCAGTTGCTGGTAACCCAGTTCTACTTTCTGTCTCTGAATTTGCCTCTCCAGGGTACCTTATATAAACGGAATCATGCAAAATTTGTTTTTTGTGTCTAGCTCGTTTCATTAGGCAGTGTCTTCAAGGACCACCCATGTTGTAGCATGTGTCAGAATTCCCTTCCTTTTTTTTTTTTTTTTTCCAGGAGAGCAAGGCAAAGGCTTTTACTTAGAGATAAAGCGAGAGGACAGAGCTCCTGGCTCATGCCAGGAAGGGACAAGAGAGTCCCTAGAATTTCCTTCCTTTTTAAGGCTGAATAATATTCCAGTGTGCATATTTACTGTGTTTTGTTTATCCATTCACCTCTTAATAGCTCTTTTTATCGGCAGGGAGGCACCATTTACTTCTACAACAAAGCACACAGGAGGAATAAGCAGAATTTTAAGTACTTGTTAGTTATAAAAAGAATGCCCTTGCATTAGTTTATAGCTCTCCAAGTGCTTTTGCACACATCCTTTCAGTATGAAAGGTAATTGTAAATAGTACTGCTGTGAACACTGGCATATGAGTATCTGAGTACCTGCTTTCAATTTCTTGATTGTGTACCTAGTGGTGCGGTCACTGGGTCATAATGGCAATTCTGCTTTTAATTTTTGAGGAGCTGCCAAACTGTTTTCTACAGTGGAAACTCCCATCAGCAGTACACAAGTGTTCCAGTTTTTCCACATCCTTGCCAACACATGCTAATTTCTATTTTGTTGATTACAGGCATTCTGATATGTGTGAAGTGGGATCTCATTGTGATTATGATGGGCATTTCCCTCATAACCAGTGACACTGGGCATCTTTTCATGTGTTTATTGGTCACTTGTTTGTCTTCTTTGGAGAAATGTTTATTCAAATGCTTAGCCCACTTTTGAATTGGGCTCTTTTTTGTTGTTGTTGTTGAGTTGTAGGAGTTCTTTATATATTCTGGCCATGGACCCCTTATCATAGATGTATGATTTTCATAGAATGTGATTTTAATAGAAAGTTTCTAAAGACGTTTTAATATATTTTTCCACCTATTTGCGAATATGGCTTTCCCATTAAGAATTTATTCTGTGGAATTTCATAACACATGGTCAGGTAAATAAAAAAGGAATAAAATGTTTTTAAAATTTGTTTCCAAAACCCACTGATCTGAGGTCACATTAATTTTAAACAAATCATAGTTCGATTCGAGGACATCTAGCCAGCACACGAGGTAACAGTCCAGTGTGTGACACGACATTCAGCGGCACAGCATTTGATCTGCAAATGAAATCAGAAAGGCCATTTGGCCTTTGTAGCTCTAGAAATTTGGGTCACTGAAGAAAAATTAGCTGCCATCCCCTAGAGCCTGCTTTCCCTCTCATTTAAAAGCTTCCAGTTGAGTTAAGGGGTTGAAAAGCACATAGGTTAGAAATAAGAATTTTTAAGCCCTGGTTCCAGGTCTGCTTTTGACATACTGATGTATTCATAGTGTCATTGAAAATCCAGCAGCAACTCTTAACTGGAGGCAAATATATATATATTTTTGAGTGTCCAGCTTTCAATTTCTTTTTTGTTAAAGTATCATCGATACATGATCTTATGAAGGTTTCACATGTACAACATTGTGGTTCCAACATTTGCCCATATTATCAAGTCCTCCCCACCCACTGCGGTCACTGTCTATCAGTGTAGTGAAGCGCTGTGGAGTCACTACTAAGACAGACATTTTTAAAAAGTGTGAGGCCTTCTGAATAGGATAAGGATGAGGATGGTAAGGAATTTTGGTCTCATATGTGGAATCTAAAAACACAAATCAACAACCAAGCTCATAGACCCAGGGAACAGATTGGAGGTTGCCAGAGGATGGGGGTGGGGGAAGCAGACAAAATGGGTAAGGGAATCAAAAGCTACAAGCTTATTTATTTATAAAATAAGTAAGTCCTGGGGATGTAATGCACAGCATGATCACTGTAGTCGATAATATTGTATTGCATATTTGAAAGTTGCTGAGAGAATAGATGTTAAAAAGTTTCTCATCACAAGAAAAAAAATTCTGTAACCCTATGTGGTGACGGATGTTAACCTGACTTATTGTGGTGATCATTTTGTAATATATACAAATACCAAATCATTACGTCATGCACCT